GATGAAATTTAATCCCCGCTCTTGCAGTTTCAGCTGGCAAAATCTTTATATATCAACCAAAAGAAATAACTCTGAATTGTTTTATTTAAGTTTTGTAAATGTTTAACCTACTTAATATAAACTTGTTTCCATCTTTGATTAACTTGGAATTTAACTTATTGACTAAAGGAAAACAACCTGGAGATCTCATTTGTAGTTCCACTTGCAGCATTTACCACAGTTGAGCAAATTAAGTACTTGAGTACTCAATTTGTGGACAGAATTCCACATAGGAATTGTCACTTAATACTTTTGATATTTCTTACTAGTAAGATACTTACAGGAATATTAGCTGTGTTAGAAGCGCAAAAAGCCTATTGTATTGAATGGCTTTACTTATCCCATCCCAAAATGTTTTATCTTTTATCCAGGCTGTTGCTGAAATAACCTTAGGACACAATCAAGCTTGTCCTTGAAATGGGACTGATTTAATTAATATTGTTATTCCTATCCCAAAATTTGATTTTCAATTTTATTTTCAGAATAACTTATCTCTTCTGCTGCTATTTTAGCTTTCCACACCTTTTCTCAACAGACTTTTAACTTAATTTCTTATTCTCATTATGTGTGCCAACTTATTTTTAATCTTACAAGTGCTTACATCATGCCCAGGATCGACCCCAATCTTATGGCTTTGTTTTTAACTTTACAGCAGCTATCCTTTGTTTCTCACATATGTATCGGTCCTTTAAGGACTGCCTTCATAAACAAATAAAAAAGGAGGGATCAAGGGTACCTAATTTGGCATGGATAAATAATCAAGTCAATAAAGTCCTAATAACTTTAAATCAGCTAAATATTTCTTTTCAAAAAACTACTGTCTACCAGCGTCACTTTCAGCAGAAAGCTGTGCTTCCTAATCCATTGGTATGTTATTGGCAATTGTCTGATAAAACCTGGTTAGATCCAATTCCCTTACTAACTTGGGGGCGAGGCTATGCTCTGTGCTTGCTCCTACAGGCCCTCTCTGGATTCCAGCCCAGTGTGTGCAACCAGCCAAAGATGTCATGGCATCAAGTCCAGAACCCAATACTGGAAATGAAGCAGGTGACTCTTCAGACAGCACAACGTCCCTTTTGCTCTCGCCATCGCAGCTGACCAACAACCTGGGGCGATGTGAAAAACCTAATCTCCAAAGCACAGATGGTTCTGTGGCAACAGGGAAAAGAACTTATACCAGAGAATTTATGCGCTGCCATATTTGTGGTTTTGACTGCAAATTCCTTAGTCATTCTTTGCCTCTCTTTCCTTCTTAATTACTGTGTGGGGGCTCAAGCTCCCACTCATCCTTTAGAATCACGGATGAAATATAATATCTAGGTGCAATTAGCTAAATGTAACACAAGTGACAGACTTTTGTATTTCTGAATCATATGACATGGAAAATCTACTCTCTACCTGTCTTATACCTGTGTATGTCCCAGCTTCAGTTTATTTGTTATTTCAATGTTTCTGATCAATCTGGCGTTATTCAAAAGCAAATTAATGTTTTACATAATTTGGCTTCTGATTTAAAAATTGATACCTTAGGAAATTGGTGGAGTGCTCTATGGTCATGGCTTCCCATTGGCCTTCTTGGAAAGATTGTTCAATATCTCATTATAATAGTTGCTATCCTTATCAGCTGTTGTTGTTTATTTCAATGTCTTTTTTCTTTACTTAATAAGATGTCTTGCAATTTTCCATACTAAGCTAAGACCCACTAACTACTCCTGCTTAAGATGTCTTCATTAATAAAATAGAAAAAGGTGGGATGTGGAGGAATTTGCACATGCAGCAAACTGCCATGCATTGCCCCCCCACAAACCTCATAACCTTTTGATACCCTTTGTCCCAAGGAAGCAGCCAAAAGATCACCCCCTTTTGACTTAATATCTTACCTACCTAAATAATAAGTTCCCCCTTATCTCTTCCTGTCTTTATCTCTTCTTGTCTTTATCAGTTCTTTCTCCTTTCCTAATTTACCTGTATTTGTTTTACCTGCTCTCAACAGGTAATGTGTTACTAGAAAATAATTGCTTATATGAAGGAATTTTTCAATTACTTTATGTCAACAGCTAAAGGTTAAACTTCTAAATGTAAAATGTCAGCAGTTAATGGCAAAGCCTATGTATGTAAAAAGTATATAAAAAAGAATAAACTCAGAGTTTGTCAAGCTGTATCCTGCAGCTTCAAACCTCTGCTCAAGACATGCCTGTGTCTTTTTCTTAGCATCCTACACTAGTGGACCCTCAAAATCCTTGTGTTGCACTGTAAGAGTGGCCTCCCCCTTTACAAACACCTTGGAATTTTGAAAATCTGTTAGTATTATGTTGGATGGCCTAAGTTTGGCCTGAACACCACTACTGTTGCAAATCTTTCTAAATGTATGAATGGAAATAATTGAAAGAGCGGACTCAGTGTCCAGCTCCATGGCTACAGGAACCCCTTGCAACCTAACCTTAAGTGACAGTTTTTTCTTGAGGGGTTTGTGTGTGCCTGTTCTGCAAATAATCCTGCGCGACGCGCAGAAACCCACCCTATTTTGGCTGGGGACCCTGGTACCTTTCAGACGCAATTCTTCTCGAGGTTGTACCTTCTGGCGACCCAAACAGATGGATGCTATGTGGCCTTGCCTGCCACACACTCTGCAGATGGCAGAACGGAATCTGCAGTCAGCTCTCTTATGGCGACCTCCACACCCGAAGCATTTGGGCACTGCTGGAGCTTTTTCTCTGCCTTCCTTCTGCTTCCTTTCTGTGGACTGGTAAAGCCGATCCACCTCTTCTTCAGGATCTTCCTCCGATCCTTCATGGACGCCCTCATGGTGCATGGTGACTGCCTCCGGGTTGTTCCTGATGGGCCGCATGTTCTTGACTGCCCCGCCTGCTGCTTCTTTAGCCGTCACCTCTCGTAGAGCATCTTGGAACGAGATATCTTCCTTTGCAAAAATCCTCTGTTGTAAGTCCCTGTTCCTTAGACCGCATACAAAATGGTCTCTCAGCCTTTCTTCAAGATCTTTGAACTAACATCATCTGGCTGCTCTTCTCAAGGCCGCAATAAACTCTTTGGCTGATTCACCTGCCCTCTGGTCCCTCTGTTCAAATGTGTGTCTCCACACAATAACAGACATCTTAGGCTGGAAATGGTCTTTCAATAACTTCTTTACGTCTGTGTATGTTACAGACTCTAGAGGAGCAGGGGCCGCCAGATTTTCTGCAATTTCAAACACGTCCTGCCCACAGACACACAACAGAGTTGCATCCTTCAAGCAATCTTCTCTTGCAACATAAGACTCCCAACTCTCTGGGTGAGTAACATCAAACTCATTCTTACTTCTATGCTTGGGAAGAAGTCTATCAACCGAGCTGACCTCCAGCGACGCTGTACTGGCAGGCTAGAACGCTGAGTTTAATGCCGTCTTCCCTTCTTCAAGGACTCCTTGGGTAAGTCTTACAGCTTCTCTTCTTTGAGCTTGCAAGCAATCCCACCTTCGTCACCAGTGTTAAGTCCTTCGTTCGATGGCAAATGAAGATCACACATTGTTGAATCAACAGCTCTTTATTTCACCTTCTGCTCACTCCAACAACCATGAGACTTGCAGGTCTCTGCTTTTGTGTCCGGATTCCCGGGCAAAACAGTTACAGTTAATGGCGCGCTTTTGCGCCTCGTGCATGCCCGCAAGGCTGGTGCCGCTCAGTCTGGTCCCGGGCAGCTTGCAGCAACCCCAGGACCATAGCAATGTCCCGAGCCTGCTTTTGCAGGCTCAGGACATAACACTACTCATTCTGTTTTAAACAGAAATGGAGTTTAAACATGCATTTCAAATTAAGAATGAATGTATCTGTCCATTCTGGTTTCATCCACTTTTTCAACCTACCCACCTTAAATTTATTTCATCCCAGCTTCATTTCAGGTTGTATTTTTTAAAAACATATTTACATGCAAATTCATGCCATTCACTAAGTGATTTACTAATGCATTTTTGCAAAACATTTCAAATATAAAATGTGTTATTTATTTTTTTTATGTGTGCATATTTATGTCTAGTATTTTTACTTAATGAGCAGTGTGGTGGCTCAGTGGTTTGTCAGCTGGAAACCCAGGTTTGACGCCTAACACCAAGTGATGGGGTGAGCTCCTGATCTCACTCCAGCTCCTGCCAACCTAGCAGTTTAAAAGCATGCAAATGCAGCTAGATAAACATGTACCAGGTTGAGAAAGTAACAGCACTGATGTCATACACCTGTGTATTTTGTTTATGCACTAGTTAGGAAAACACAGATCAGGTAAACCTCTGCATTAAAATATGAAAATTAGAATTTTGTCTGTCTTTCCTTCAATTGAATATTTATAAGGATTGAATGAAAAATGATGCTCCCAAAGTTGTATCACTGACAGGTAGCAGTACTGATGTGCTAGAAGCTCTTATATATTCCTTAGCCTCTGTTCTTTGACTTCAATAGTTAGGAAGTTGCTATGAGAAAAGGTTCTGTTCTATTCTGTTGCTATTGTTTGTGAAGTGAAAGCCTGCAGTAAGTAAGCGATGTGACAATTAAATTTTGATTGCCCCTTCCAATTGAAATTCAACATCAAATTCAAGTTGTTTATGGTGATACTGAAATGAGTATTCTACATTGCTAGTCCCCAAAAAATGTAAAGGTGATATACTCAAAAGAATTGTTGTTTTTTTTTTCGAACTAGTAGAAAGGACTGTTAGGACCTCATTGAAGAAACAAAATGTGGAATTCTTTCATGATGGTTTTAAAAGTTGTCCAGCTTTGGCAGAGGTATGTGCAAATAGAGTTGACTGCTTGGAGACATAAATACTAACAACAAAATAATTCATGTTAAAGATAATTTTCTTACTTCATCCATTAAAACATCCCTATTTAAACTGAAATTATGGAAGTGGTGTTATTTTTCATTCAACCATAGTATGTGTCAAACTGCCAAAGAAATTTGGCATATGAATTACTTACATAAAGAGTACAATTCCTGTGTTGGCCAAAGCAAAGGCAAGACCCAATATTCCGCTGCCCATGATAGCATTACTAAGGTTGAAGACAGACATTCCCAAAGACGTTGTGCCTGGACTCTGTAAAAAGAGAGAATAAGGGATATAAAGGAAGAAAACAACTTAATTTCAAAGCTTGGCGACTGTATTCTATTCAATGTTCATTTTGAGAAGTCACTTTGTCGTTACATTAGTCACTTGTATGTTGAGTCTAACATTCAGTTATTTGCCCAGTGGAGTTCAGTAATATAACAAAACTGACAGATAAGTCAGTATTTTTTAATGCAATCCCTATTTAGTACCTATCAACTGGGTACTAGTGTATCCTGTTAAATTTCATTATCACCTCAATCATTATGTCAATTAAGGTTCACCTAAATTGTTTAAAAGCCAAATTCATGCATTTCTTTATTTTTACACAACACATCTCAAAGCTTCATGGTTAGGAAGATGTCTTTTACAAGCAGGATCATAACAATTGACTCTAAGAGGATTGGTAGAAGTCAATGTGGTAAAAGTGTTAAAGAGGTGGACTACTAAAAGTAGGATGACATGGCTTTACTTTTCTGCTCATCCATGTCTTGCCATCTAGACTTGTTAAGAGTGAAACATGGTCAGTTGTACCAAATATGCTGATTCCACCAGCAGGTCTCACTCAAAGCCTTTTATTAGTTTATTATGTAACTTACATTGAAGGAAGAAAAGGACATAAATATAATCACATAAATGAAACACAAATGAGCAGTCCTGAAAATGATAGCTAATGTCCTCCTTGCATAGGACATCAAGATGTTTCAGCAGTTTCTGTACACATGCAACATTAGAGAATAAACCTGTATGAGATGAGGAGAGGAACCTACATATTCATCACACTTCTTCTTTTCCAAATGGCTGTTAGTTAGGCTTCTTCTGCTCTCGCGGTCTGCAATGAACTTGCTGAAAGAAAACAAGAAAGCAGGATTTTTTTAACATTATGAGGCATAGCATGGATGAACTTTTATCACTTGTTACTGCTGTAGAATACTGTGACATTTCAATGTACTGTAGACTTGGAATGTTTTCATTAAACCACGTTGTACAGTGACATTTGAGAAGACAACAAATATTATAGATGGAGGATATAATAAGAGACATACAACACCTGAAAAGACATCTATATATGGTTCAGTTCTCTGATACACTGTTTAGAAATAATCCTCTGACGTGGCTATTTTGCAACAGGAGTAGTTTTCCTACTCCTTTTTTTTTTTTTTTTAGTGTGACCTGGAAATGCAAATGGTGAAATAGAGAACAAGTCCACAATGTCAGAGCAGTGTGAATTTGCCAGCATTAGGCTTTAGACTACAGATTCAGCATTGCTCCATTTTCACAAAATCCTTGACAGGAATGACTTTGTTAATACACAAAATCCAATGCATTTCAATAACAATTAAACTAAACTAAATAATCTAAAAAAATAAAATAGAAAAGAAAAAATAGTGCAAAAAAGAAAAACATATATAAAAATAGGAAAAAATAAAGAAATGATTTCTCCTTTCATAAAAATAATTAGGAAGACTTTTAGTAACTTATCACCTTCTATTATAATACAACAAATGTTTCCTTTTTCACAAATCTCATATCTTACCCATAAACAAATCCATAAAATCTTGTCATTTCTTTCCTTTGTTATTCCTCACAGAACTCTTCAAAATGTTAAACCAGTCTCTTTTGTGACTCCAATATAAGAAAGTAATCCAGCTCACTTGTTAAGACATCACTTCCAATTTTACGCAGGAGAAAACCCGAATAACCAAAGACCTACTTACCTACCTACCTACATACATATATATCTCCATAATAAATATCGATCACCAAGAGAAAGTAGTAAAATTTTAATAACCAAGCTGTCGTTGGGACCACCCAACATCGTCAGGGTTTAAAAGCAGACGCTAGAGAGAAGCCTTTTATAGGATATTGACAACCTTCATCCGGCTTCTAAAATGTGTTACCGGACCCAGCTGTTCGCATGGAGCCTTGAATAACTCGCATGCGTCAGTGCATAGTACTTCCCCATGCCTCCTCCATATTCCGTAAATGTTTTCCTGGTCAATTTTGGGGGTGAGTGGAGTCCTTTCCCCATTTGCTAATACCAGCCCTGGTTGTCTCCCTCCTCCCTCGTCCTCCTGCCCCTGGCAATTTGTCTTTCTGATGTTGGACGGGGGATGTTACTCTCTCTCTTGTGGTGCTTTCTTCCGTTCCCAGTGAATGTCGGCCCCACCTCAGCCAACCCAGCATCCGCCGATCACATCATGGGGAGCGGTCATCCCACAGTCCTGTAATCCACACTCCAACTCATTAAAGCAATCAGGGACTCGATTCCAGCACTGTGCTCCCAATGTCAAACTCACTGAGTGCACATTCATACTGTAATTCATGAGATCCCCACCCGTCCTTCCATCCTCCCTAATAGATATCCTAATCCTTTCGTCAGCAGCAGTCTCTCCCTCCCTCCGGTCTCGAAAGCCATCCCCATATGCCAATTGGAAATCCCTTTTCCCTTTCTGTTCGTTCATCCTGCCATCTGGAGGGGTTCTTCGTGGTCGTAGGTCTACCACCGGGCAGGCAATTTTAGGGGTGAGTGGAATCCTTTCCCCATTTACTAATATCGGGGGTGATTGTCTCCCCCCTCCCTCGTCCTCATGCACCTGGTGCCTTGTCTTTCATGATGATGGGCGGGGGATGTTACTCTCTCTCTTGTGATGCTTTCCTCTGTTCTCCTCCACGAATGCCGGCCCCAACCCAGCCAACCCAACATCCACGATGCGGCGTGGGCTGACAGAAACTGCGCCAATCACATCGTGGGGGGGAACAATTGTCCCACAGTCCTGTAATCCGCACTCCAGCTCACTAAGGCAACCAGGGGGTCGATCCCGATACTGCGCTCCCAATGCCGAACTCACTGGGCGCACATTTGTGCTGCAGTTTGTGAGGTCCCCACTCGTCCTTCCACCTTCCCTAGTAGATATCCTAATTCATTCGTTGACAGCAGTCTCTCCCTCCCTCCGGTCTCGAGAGCCATTCCCATTCGCCAGTTGGGAATCCCTTTCCCTCTTCTGGTGAGACCTGCCATCTGGATGAGTTCTTCGCGGTCGTAGGTCCACTGTCGGGCAGGCAGCTGTGACCTGCGGGGGAGTGTCCTCAAAAAGGTTAACACACTCTCAACTCGCCTTGCTGCAGTGCGATGCAGGATATAACCTCATGGATGCACACCTGCTGGATTTTATAGCAGCCTTGGAACTAGCCATATATCATGGGGATATGGGGGAAGACTCTAGAAACTCTATAAAGCAGCAGGTCACAGGGTTGCTTATGCAACATAGGTACTATCAGACCCTATCTAGGGAAGAGACTGGCCCTAGAACAACTAAGAAAAAATGACTCCATAGTCATATTACCAGCTGACAAGGGCAGGGCCACGATGGTAATGGATAAGGCGTTGTATGTGACTAAAGCATTAGAACTTCTTAATGATACAACGGCTTATAGAGTTGTTAAGAGGGATCCCATGGTGTCCACGATGAATAAGATCAATAAGGTGTTGAACAACTTTAAACGTGCCAGAAGAGTAGATGAGGATGCCTTGAGGAGAATGCGTCCCAAGGATTCAGCTCTCCCCAGGTTTTATGGACTTCCCAAAATCCATAAGGAGGGCACGCCGCTTCGCCCTATTGTTTCTTTTAAAGGCACACCCATATCAGGGTTAGCGAAGTGGCTGAGTGAACACATTGCCTACCTGGTAGAAGATAGCCCTACCACAGTTAAATCTGCGGAGGAGTTTCTAAATAAGATCGAGGCCCTCAGGGTGGAGGAGGATGAGGTGATGGTGTCGTTTGATGTCACCTCACTATTCACCTCCATCCCACAGGACCTTGCAATAACTGTCCTTAAAGAACAGTTAAAGGCACGGGAAGGGACCTGGCGCCGAGACTCCCTGCGCGTGGAGGACTTATTAGAACTTATATAACTGTGCTTGACTATGTATTTCACCTTTCAAGGTATCATGTACGAGCAGACAAAAGGCACCCCCATGGGCTCCCCCATATCCAGCGTGATAGTGGAGGCGGTCCTCCAGCAGTTGGAACATGAGGCTATGATCCAGTACCGGCCCAAGTTTTGGGCCCGGTATGTAGATGACACCTTTGTTGTCATCAAACGATGTGACAAAACCAACTTTATGGGAATACTGAATTCAGTTTATCCTGATATTAAGTTTACGGTGGAGGAGGAGAATCGGTGCTCGATACTCTTCCTAGATGTGTTAATCCAGCATCTACTGGATGGTACCATAAGTACCAGGATTTATTGTAAGCCCACTCAGACTGATCGAATCCTCCACTATAACAGCAACCATCCAGTGTCCCATAAGGTTGGTTGCGTCAAAACGGTGTTTAAGCGGGTGCATTCGCACTGCAGCATGGAGGAGTTTAGAGTGGAGGAAAGGAAACACCTGTACCACACTTTTCAACTTAATGGATATCCTTTGGGGTTTGTAGGACGTCACAGTAAGGCACCTGGACTTCGACACGGCCATCAGGAAGAAGAACTACAGACACGGATCACACGTATTACCCTGCCGTACATCAATAACGTTTCAGAGGCCACGGCTAGACTGTTGGCCCCCTATAACATAAAGGTGGCGCATAGACCTGACCAGACTCTGCGATCAAAGATCATGCACCCCAAGGACCCACTCCCCACCGCAGAAAGATCGGCGGTGGTATATAAGATCAGATATATGGACTGCCCACATAGCCATGTGGGTGAAACATCCAAAAGATTAAAAACTCGTTTGTACGAGCATAAATTGGTGGTCAGAAGGGGCGACCAGCATTCGTAGGTTTGGTCACATATGGCTGAAAATGGCCATCGCTTTGATTTCGACCAGGTTCAAGTCTTAGCAAATGATGCCACCAAAGGGGGGCGACTATTAAAAGAAGCCTGGTTCTCCGAGGAAGATTCTGTTAACCGGCACATAGATATGTGCCCGGCGCATCGGTCATTAAGGACATGGCATACTAGCTGGTCCCTCAGTCGCTGGGGAAGATCAACGTGTGGATCATGCTTGGATCAGGGGGGAAAAGCGGCTACCACTTCATCAGAAGACCGAATCAGTGGGAGCTCCAACCTTCCCCGCGGGTCACAGCTGCCTGCCCGACGGTGGACCTACGACCGCGAAGAACCCCTCCAGATGGCAGGACGAATGAACACGTTATGGTGACTCGGTCTCACCAGAAGAGGGAAAGGGATTCCCAACTGGCGAATGGGAATGGCTCTTGAGACCGGAGGGAGGGAGAGACTGCTGTCAACGAATGAATTAGGATATATACTAGGGAAGGTGGAAGGACAAGTGGGGACTTCACAAACTGCAGCACGAATGTGCGCCCAGTGAGTTCGGCGTTGGGAGCGCGGTATCGGGATCGACCCCCTGGTTGCCTTAGTGAGCCAGAGTGCGGATTACAGGACTGTGGGATGATTGTTCCCCCCACAATGTGATCGGCGCGGTTTCCGTCAGCCCACGCCGCATCGCGGATGTTGGGTTGGCTGGGGTGGGGCCGGCATTGGTGGAGGAGAACGGAGGAAAGCGTCACAAGAGAGAGAGTAACATCCCCTGCCCACCATCACGAAAGACAAGGCGCCAGGTGCATGAGGACGAGGGAGGGGGGAGACAATCACCCTTGATATTAGTAAATGGGGAAAGGATTCCACTCACCCCTAAAATCGCCTGCCTGGGGGTAGACCTATGACCACGAAGAACCCCTCCAGATGGCAGGATGAACGAACAGAAAGGGAAAAGGGATTTCCAACTGGCATATGGGGATGGCTTCTGAGACCAGAGGGAGGGAGAGACTGCTGCCGATGAACGGATTAGGATATCTACTAGGGAGGATGGAAGG